TGGGTACGAGGCTGGTGCAAATGGGAAAAAGAACTGGTCATTATTGCGACGAATTGAATCCACAGGTGCGGATGTATTTTTCATCTTTTAAATATAATGATAAAACAATTATTGAATTCGGTTTTTGTAAGATAATTATGAAGAACTATAAAGACCTCAGTTTGTGTTATCAACAAAACTTCGGGCTTGATAATTCTTCATATCATGCGCTCAGCTTCATTCTAAAGTTGTTAAATATTTTGAATGTCGAAAATATATAAATGAAGTATGAATGTATACCTTTACACATTCATACTTCATTTATATATTTTCGACATTCAAAATATTTAATAATTTTCGAATGAAGTTGAGCGCATGATATGAAGAATTATCAAGCCCGATATAAATGATAAATGAAGTATCATGAATGTATAAAGGGATGGGCCATGAGATTAGGCTTTAGGCCAACCAACATTACCTTTTGGACATAAACTTGGCTTGATTACCCCACCAGTTCCATTCAACAATGTAGGATCGCAATAATACCCCAATGGACACTGCAAAGGATACGATGAAGCGAGTGGACAATAGAATCCGACTGGGCATGCCAATTCATACATTGACCTCGGACAGTAAAACCCTGGTTGACATATCCGTGGTTCAACTGATCCAGGAGGGCAGTAAGTTCCGTTCAGACAAGCTATTGGTGAGACCGTCGCATTAATAGGACATATATATCCACGAGGACATGCAAAGCATTCCTCAATAGAGCCAGCACCAGTAGAATTCCGGTATGTTCCGTTATCTGGGCAGGATGTAGGTTCAATGATAGCTTCATTGCAGAAGAAACCCACTGGACATGGACTGATCCGGAAATCGCTCGTTGCTGGACAAAATAAACAAAATATTGATAATAAAAAATACAACGTATTATCATTTACACTTCACAAAAGCACGTGATTAACTATTACAATTGTAACATGCATAAATGGATGAAACATGCATAAAGCCCGGATCAGACGAGGATGTGAGCAGTCACGTGACCTTGGCTAGCTGTTCTTAATACTTTCCCAATACTATCATGGATTTTTTTAAGTTAAAACGTAGTCGAAAAGTGACGGTCAAACCTTTATTCTTAATCTAGAGTTTGAAATGTCCCCTGTAGCAATGCGTGTCTGACTGCCAACTCTCATCAACTATCACCCGCGTTTGACCGGGGCTTAAGCACAGAAATGTCCTTGTGAATTGGTGTGAAATAAATAGAATCACAAAACAAAGGAAAATGTTTATTTTTCATCTGCTTATACTGTTGGCAAGCTATAATCCTCGCAAAAAGCGCGTGCGTAAATATCCAGACATGCTTCACCCAGATCATGCGCCATTGCGAAAGCAGCAGACATGCAGTCCTCTGTTTAAATCCAACATGCCTCGACGTAATTATTCTGAAGCATAGTAATGGTCATACTGTACGCACGAGTAATGGTCATACGGTAAAGGTCATGCTGTAAAGTAATATAATATACTATGGCAAAGCAAAAACAACGATAATGATATATGGTATGAATTTTCTACGAAAGCGAAAACTGTGACCGTGTTAGGGTAGAAAAGAAAAGTAATGGTGATATAAAGTAGCAATTGAGAAATACGGGCATTAGGAGTATAAAAGTAGTGGTAAAAGTAAGCTTTAGCAAAAGCAACGGTGAAAGCAAAGACAGTGTACTGCTTATGGTAAACGGTCTAATGATTAAGTAGTTGATAATAAGTTGATCATTAAATGTCATGGAAAGCGAAAGTGGAAAAATAAAAGCGATATAAAGAAAAGCTGAAATCAAACTAACGAAATAAAACATTAAAACGAAAACATACCTAGTCTATTACACCAATATCCTGCTGGGCATGGATGACAGGAACTACTGTTTGTCGCCCCAACTGTATCGGAATAAGTCCCAACTGGACATGGCTTCATGGTGGCATTATATGGACAGTAGAATCCCACTGTACATGCAACTGCTAAAGTATTGTTCTCACTGCATATCTTCCCAGCCGGACAAAGCGCACAATCGGCCGCTGACTTCGCTCCAGATTTATCAATCACCAATCCTCTAGAACAGGCTACTTTATCTATAGCTCCAGCAGGACAGTAAAAGCCGTAGGGGCACCTTTCCCCAATTGTCTTATCGGAGCCGTCTGGTGTTGGAGTTGGGTTGCCTTGATAGCAAAGATACCCAGCACTGCATTCCCCAGATATATCACCCCGCTGACAAAAATGTCCAACAGTACACGGCGAGCACTGTGTGGCGCTATACAGTCCTGTTGTGTTCTCGTTCGTATATGTACCATTCGGACAAAAGATTGGTTCGATGGTGCCACCAGGGCAGTAACTATGCGAAGGACAGACTTCGGGGATACTTGTATTACCAAGACAAAACTTCGCAGAAGGACAGGTGAAACAAGTGTCATTGCCTTTGTTAGGTTGATATAGGCCTGGATCGCATCCTTTAGGATCTGCAGTCCCAAGAGGACAATAATGTCCAGGTGGGCAACGATAGTCCTCTGGAGCAGATACTTTAATTGGAGCTTCTTCGGGACAGTAGTATCCAGGAGCACATTCTCCAGAAGGTTCATACAGGCCAGCTGTCTCACAAAACATTCCTGGTCGGCATGGAGTACAGTCTGCGAGCTTGGCTCCCCCGTCAGTGTTCCGCATTGTTCCTTTAGGACAAAGTTCAGCGTGAGTTGTTCCATTGATACAGTATCTTCCTTTTGGACAACGTTTATTTATTGAATCATTAGGAGTCTTTAAAGTTGCTCCACCTAGGCATAGGTAACCCTCAGAACATGGTCCACTCGGCTTGTCCAGTCCTGGTTGGTTACAATAAGATCCAGCATCACATGACAGGCATTCGTTTCTATAGCGAGCTGATAATCCACGTCTGTAAGTGCCAGCCGGGCACGGTTCACCTCTGTCGTTTCCTCCTGTACAGTAGTGGCCAACGGGACAAGGTTGAGGTATTATAGTGGTGTAATTCGGGCAGATTTTACCTTGTGGACATGGTAAGCAAGTTGCAAGTCCTTGCTTTGGAGCATACTTACTCGGGGGACAAGGTTCTTCCTTAACAATCCCTGCAGGACAATAATGGCCAGTTGGACATTGATATCCCTGTGAACCATTTACTGGGTTCGGAACCGTTGATCCTACACAATTATCAATAAAATAAGTATAGAGGTCCATGTGAACCTCATGTCGATGTAGGACTATTACTGAACAGTTTCAACAGTTTCAATAAAAGCAATCTTATGGTCTAACCCTTGTGTGCATCATTGCTAGCCAATTGCAATTGTTATTTTAGAAACTTTAAATAGCTTACAAGCCTGGTCACTATTGATGTAAATCTTTGAATTCTCTTTACTAGTTATCCACTGAAGTAGATGTTAATGCGTAAATTAGTTATTTCAATTTCATTCAATTTATAAATGGATTGATAGACAGCAACATGTGCTAATAACTAGTCAATTCAAATAAAAGTCGAATAAGACTACGACAGATACTTCCCATGAACACCTTGACCAAAACATGATGAAACACAGCTTATTACAACAAATTTGAGTGAAACTAGTTGAACATGATTGTCTGACCTATATCTTATGGTATGAGCTATCATATGTTCAAGGACAGGTGCAATCGACGGAAAAAATTGCTTCCAATTAACTCACCCGTCAAACAGACAAATCCTGGATCACAATCTCTTTCTTGCATTACCCCAGCATTAGGGTCACAATATTTACCACGACTGCAAGGTTTACAGTCACTCATGTTACCATTCCCAGTAGAGTTTGTATATGATCCTCTAGGGCAAGGCACCGGAAGATAGCTCCCTCTCGGGCAATAATACCCTCGAGGACATTCGCCGTCAGGTGGGTTTGGTATTTGAGTGCCATTCTTGTCACAGTAGAAGCCAGGGAAGCATAAATCTTGCGGAGATGTTAATCCTGATCTTTGACAATAGTATCTGAAACGTGATATATATAGAAGTCATATTACATAAACATTTGGATATCGGCGATTTCATGCATTCATCAAACCAACGGCCTCGGAAACTCATTTTTAATCTGAGTACATGTAAAACATTTCCTATTTTGGGAAACATTGTATGACTGTTATTTTTAGGTGCAGGAGGAGTTTGTTATTTTACAGATTTTGACCGCGTTTAAGAGAGAACTTCGATCGCGATTCCAAACGAGTATGATGATGCACAAATTATTGGACACTTGGCGTTCACGAGATGTACGCATCAGTTACAGGGTTTATTTTAACGTGCAGTTCTACTGTAATAACACAAAATGTGCAGTTCTAAACCCATTTGTGCAGTTCTTAAAACTGAAATGTGCAGTCACCAAATTAACAAAAATATAACCTCAAAATCCAGATACCAGAAATGCTGTCATTGAGCATCACAAATCCAAATGTTTCCTGAAAGAGGACCACCAGACCCTCATATTTTCCTCACAAATCACATACGTGCTGGGGGTAATGGAACAGGAGGTAAAATTGGGGCGAGCGAAGCTATCCAAAAGAGATTAGAGTTGATGAACCTAATATTCTTTGCTGCCAAAGGTTATTAAATATTGAGTATTCATGATTCCCAGTTACATGTTTCGAAACAGTTTTGTGGGTGGTTGGGTGAAACAAATCTTTGCCAGAACTTACGAGCCTCTAAATTTAAAATTTGGGGGGACACCCCCTACCTGTAGCTTCCCCACCCGGAATCGAGTTTGTCTGGCCCCACCCAACCACACCTTTATTCTGCCACCCATAAACAAATTAAGAATCTATCATAATCTGCAACGTTAACTATAAATTTACAACGCTAAATCGATACTGTAGATAAAAATCCTTTAACCCCCCCCCCCCCA